TTTTTTTTTTTTTTTTTTTGGTGTGCATATCTCACGTAAATTCAAGGAGTATGTGGAAAGTGGGAAAGCTGAAAAGGACAAGCGTAGAGCAGAAAAGAAATCACCACCAGTTCATCGGCGGAGTATGTTTGTTAGGGTCGCTCGTACTTTATTGCCTTCTGCCAGGAAACATCTGTGGAAAAAGATACAAGAAGAGGCCGGTCAGTACGATATAAGGTAGGTTGTGGCTCTTCTTTCCACGGACCCACCTAGCCTTTTATTTGGTCAGTTGTGAAAAGTTCATGCTTTGAAGCGATTAAATTTCTAGTTATATGGAGCTGCGTGATCAAGATGAAAAAATTAGGGAGATGGAAGTTGAGGGAGCGTCGAAACTTTGGGTGGGGAAAGACTACGTGAATTTTATATATAAAGATTTCGTCGAGCTTGATATGCCTTTTCACGGTATTCATTTTTATGCTGCTTTTATATTCCTTCCACAAGTAAGCGATTTGCAAATTGTGCAATTGAAGACTTTATCGATCGTAGTGTTACTCCTCGGATGCCATGGCACGATATTCACGCAGTGACTTATGGAAGTAGTGCTCGTGATCTTGCAAGGCACTTTATTCAAAGGTGGAATGCGACTAAGGTTAGGCCAATTTAGCTTAGGATTTACAAGAGAAGATTAAGCGATAACCCACCATAAGTTCACAAGTGATATGAATTCCAGACAGAAAAAGCAAAAGACTTGAAAGATTGTCCCTTCATATTACCAAAGTGTTACGACACTATTAAAGTTCCCCGAGTACTTGCAAATATCAGCGAACATGCAGACGTCCAAGTTTTACGCTCGGTGTCAAGGTGGTCGGCATTAATTAATCGTACTGAGGAAAGCATCCAGCAGGTCATCTTTTTTATTATGCTTACTTTGTCAAGGGTTGCATGTTGGTCACAGAATTAGCAATGACGAAATGGTCTAAAATCTTTGGAACTCAACAATTATTCAAATTCTTTAAAACTGGTTCTCATTCAGGAAAAGTATAAAATATTATTAGCTCAATAAAGACTAACTGGTCTGAATTCTAGACTATTTGAACTTCTCGAAGTAAGGTTTCTATCGTATATCTGAAACAGTTATTCTGCGATTTATACTGGTGCTTAGATGAAGCCTAGATTTAAGTAAATGATCTGTGTTTTTTAATCTGCTTGGAATTAGATGTAAGGTTTTGACTGGATGACTAGAATTGCAGTTTGAATCAGGAAGAAGTTATAAACTGTTTTTTGAACGCCACGCCATATTTTTCCTTTTTTCAAAAAATTAACTTACTGGATAATTTTCAGAAACACTTCTTAATTTTTTTGATGAAAGGGTTGCTTCAGCAGTAATCTTTTACTTTTTCTTCCTATGAAAAGTCGTTAACCAATTTTATTCTTTCCAAATTTTGACGCACCGCTGCCCAACTAGTTAATTTTTTCTGATTGTGAAAAGAACTAGGATATGATACGGTGTCGAGTCAGGAATTCATCATCAATTTATGGACTTGAAGTGAATCTTAAGTGAACTCAGATGTCAGCTGCAAAAGTTTGATTAAAACTAGGACTTAAACTGCAGCAAATTTTTATGGTGTATTCCTGTGACGCTTTTGTGGGGTGCAAACATGTTTTTGAGAAGTTATTGGTCATAGCGCTTGCTGGAGCTTTGGTTTAGTAGTGTTTCAATAAAGTAATTGTTTGTCGCTTGAAAACTCTCCTCCTTAGCAGCAGTCTTTTAGCAAATAGGCTCGAGCAGATTTTTTAAGTATTTTTTAGAGAAAAGTGTCCTCGTTTCTTGGGCATTTTCTGCTCAAAATGCCATTTTTTGGCGGAGCAGTGCAGGTTTATTTTTGAAAAATGTGCCAGGTTGAGATGTGGATTGCGAAAGGTTATTT